AAAAAAAAAGGAGAACATAAATGATATATTACAGAATATATTACAGACGTAATTCTTTACCTCAGGTTTTGTTTACGTGCCTTGTAGATAAAATATATAGAAGTATATGAAATTTACCAGTAACACTATCAAAATACCTTTGTTGTACTTTCATTTCTTTTAATAGAGAACCGGTAGTAACAAAAAATATAAGGCAGATTGAACGAATCAGTAAGTATATCTTAGACATTGATTTCATGGTGAATTTAACATTCCTTTATATATATATTGCTTTGGAACGATATGCAGTTCCTTAGGTCCTGCATTTTAACTCTTCTTCAAATTTTAAAACTGCGAGGAATTAATAAAAAAAAACAACACATATACCTCATATCAACATCATCTCCAAGCAGAGTACTTCTATCCAATATTGACTTGTATGTACCAGACGCATGATTAGAAGTAGCAAACCTTATTTAAAATTGGTTGTTGCACTGTGTGTGCAGATCATTTTAACGGCTAATAAATGACTTAGGGGTGTGACGCATTGTTATAAAAAGTACGCAAGAAACAATCCAAAATCGGTTACCCATTCACAGAAAGTAACGGTATAAATACTACAATAAATGGATCAAATATTACATGAAGATGGTATGAACACGTTACATCAACGCAAGGCTCGTTACGAGATTTAAAAATGATATATACATTATTTGTACCAGGAATAGCTGATTCAGGGTGAACGATATACAATGTACATCCTCACAGATTATAATGTAGACCCGCGGTATATGACCATGGGTTTTTGTATAGAGTAGTGTTTTAAGTTCATCTTTGGAGGCGGAAATGGTAGCTAGTCCTTTGCTCGGCGTCTTGTCCAATGTACAAATATTTAAGTGAACCAATAGGTATATGAGTCCCAGTATACACAACACAGTTTATGACGTCACATGCGTGCTGCTTACACATCTGTGCGCATGCTCTCTATATGCCTGTTATACATGTTTATAAATACCACCGGGCTATACCCATGTACCGGCCTAAATGCAGTGGATCGGTTACAAGAAGTGTGTAATTCAAGTAAAAGTCCTCTATATAACACTAAAAGACGAAAACAAATCATATTTGGAAGGTTTTAGCTGAAAGGATTTTGCGTTAAATAAGTCTTTGTATGACACATTATCTAAGTGTGTAAAGTTTTGTAGATCAAACCATCGTTAAGCTAATCATGAGTTATTTCCCCTTTCCGAGATTGACCGGTATGCACTAGGGGCAACATTCGAAGAAGCGAACCTTGCCAAAATGTATTGGGGAAACCTGTGTGTTGAAGGCTTTAATGACAATTAAAAATTATCTTGTTATCATTGTGTTAAATATAGCTATGTAACACATAATATATGGGTTCAACATGTGTGCAATGAATATTATGTAGAGTGAAGAGAAAAGAAACCATCATGCCAAATATCAGCATCCCAATACCAATAGTGAAGTTTCATTATTGAATTTCTGAAATACTTTGGCAAAAAATTCAAAATGATACATCATTTTAAGCACTAGTATCACCCTTTTTGACTCCAATTGTTTTTTTCTTAAGATGACTGTTTATTCACTGTGACGCTAAACCAATTAGATATCGTACAAAGTGATTTATTTCATAGGAGAAAACTCTACAACACAAAACAATAGCATAACAACGACACTCATCAAGACATATATGCACCCTTTGAAATGGACCATAGGATTATTACAATAGGTATATTAAATAGTACCTATAATTTGTATAAATACGTTACAAATATTCATGTACGCATAGCTTGTTACTTTTTTAAATAGGTATATATTTATGCATGGTACGACTGATTCAGTGCGACTATTAAAAAGCCTAATAGTGGATTTTCTTATTTACGTACATGTCGATTGATATATGGGAGCAACAGTAGTATAGTGTAGACCCGTGGTATATGGCCATTGTATAGAGCACGGTTAGGTACATGTATTGGTAGTTTGTCGTCTGTCCTATGTCTTGTGAAATACATAAATATGTATCTCCAGGCTAATCGACTGGTAATACGGTACAGTTGTCAAACGCTTACGAAACCGTACACACATATACTTGGTTAGATATAAAGAACAATAACAATTCGTTGTTCGAAGGTCAACCATTGCTTGTTATTCATGCACCTCTGGTGTTCAAAATAATACACAGAGGTCACGTCCCCTGTAAGTAACTCAGATAGTTTCTTGAGTCGCAATTACCGTACGTTTTCAAAAAATCTTTAGCACAAAATATGGCGTTTAATTCAGATGTCACCAAAAAGGCAATCCATCAGACACAAAGCTTCTTTTATTTCAAGCATTTTGTCAGAATGTGATATGTACTGCCTTCTAATATACCACCCATATGAACTACTTAGATACAGTATAACGACCATCGTTCTTCATTAATGATTTATAGCAGCAATTTGATGCTGCAACGAAATGCCTGCCTAGCCGTGGGTCCTCTTTGATGGCAAGTTTACCATTCCTGAATTTATTCAACTACATGTACCTGTAAACAGTTCTCAATAGGACGGTAAATGTGCTTTTTATGCTGCACAACACCGCATGTATCTGTTTGGCGGTATTTGAAAAGCACACCGTGCTTTCATGTATGAGCATATTTCTTGAGTCTCAATTTTCATTGTAGCATAAAAAAAAGTATACATACGTCACAAGTTCATGTACTCTTCAACAATAAATAATCTATTCAGTTCTCGTCGGATGATATCGAAATGCACCTATATTGTTCTTTAAATGTTCATGCAGTCTACCAATGAGCTAAATGTTTTAGTGTACGTCCTTACGGTATCTATGTAGTAACAGCATGTATTTAATAATCCTGGTATTACCACATATTAAAGCTCCAGTCTCCCGTGTGTGTTTGTGCTTGTGGTATGTTCAGCTTCTCTTATTATGACAATACAGTACAAAATCATGTCAGCTTAGATGTCAAAATGTCGCAGTTGAATACTAAGATTATGAAAATGTTAAATGAGTGCGAGTCGACGGGGACATTCGTTTCGTGTTTTTGTTGTATATACTGTACTTTTTGCAGTTAACACAATGGCAACGAAGCTAACACAAACTCACAGAGATCAACATTCCAAATGGATTGACCTGTCAACAAGACACAAGTTTACCTTACTGTACAAGATCAGCCGTGATGGATGTAATCCTGAAATCTTCCATCGTTACTGTGACAACAGGGGGCCGACAGTCACCATCCTGTACAATACCGACAAGTCGGTATACGGGGGGTACACAGCTTTCGACTGGAAATCAGATACTGAATATGAGGCCGATGCTCAAGCATTCTTGTTTACACTAGAGCACAATGGTACAGCCCAGGCAATGAAGTTTCCCCACAAAACAGACGGAACAAATGCGATATATGGAAAGAGCAGTTATGGGCCAACATTTGGAGATGGGCATGACTTGTGTTGTTTCACTGCAACTATAAATAAATCCGGAAATATTTTCCCATTGGATGGTAAGGTCGAATCAAGCAAGAGTTATGACATGAAAGGACAAGACTTTAATTCTTTGATAAATGGTCATTTCAATGTCCTGGAGTTGAAGGTTTACAGTGTTCAAGGTAGGTATATGAAACTCAGGGGGATATTTTCAAATTATAATATTGCAATTACTAAAATTGATAATGAATCAAAAAGAATGTTGTCTATGTTATAACTTTATTAATTTAATTGGCGTGGCTTTCAACTACTTACATGAGTACCCAACGGGCGAAACAATACACGCAAACCACATGTCATAAAGTACCCATTTCAAATGCTGTGTTCATTTCCTCACTTAACAATAACTATGCTTACGAATTATTTATGATTTCCCGGCATTTTTAAAACAGATAATTAGTGCTACTCAAAGACAAGTTCAAGAAGTTATTAATATATTAAGATTTACCACCGATTCCTGTAAGAAATATATTAGTTTTGGATATCGAAATGTAAGTAAAAGATACTTTATATTTTTGCTATATCTCTCAAGAAAGTGAAATATTTCTAAGTGTGATGCAATGGAAAACATACTTTACCTCAATAGCTTATATTATCAGAAAATAATTTGCTTTAACTCTGTAAAAAAAAAACATACATATGTATATATAATGTTTTGTGTTCCTTTCCTCGTATATTGTTTTTACTGCCATGAACAATTTTTTTTTCAAAATCGAATAAGGGGTCGAAATTCTGTATAAAATGGGCACAACATACTTAAGCACACGATCTTCTGCTTTTCAAGAAACATATATGAATTTCATGTTTAAATGTATGCGAGGGAGAAATGATGTTAAGGTGCAGACATACTAAAGGACCGGTCACACTGTCACAAGTTTGGCCCACAGTTTGTGGCAATATACCTCGCCACAACTCTTCAGGTATCGGTTAGGACTCGAACACATCTATGCCTGTCGAAGAGATGTCTATTCATGTCGCTAGTTCTCGGCAAACATCGGCGAGAATTTGAACGGTTTTAAATTGTCGTGCAAGTTTTAATCTCGTACATGGGTGATGGTGGACACCTGTCGACACGTAAAAAGTCGTTCTACTAGTTTTGCATGCAACATGCAACGAGTTTGCACGACTTCTTTCAACATATGTACGAATTTTACGTGTTCTGCGAAAAAATTCCTCGACATTGCTACGAATTCTTGCGAGTTTTGGTGATTCTTATAAGGGGTGTACATTTATTGTATCACCGTCAGTTCTCCTGCAGACTCCGATTACTCCTCATCACTTTCTCAGTCATGCGCCCAAAGTAAAAGGTGCTAACAACAAAGTATGTGAAGGACTGTATGAAAATACACCCAAGTTCCCAAATATCGTCATTTGTCGTACATTTTGTAGTAGTTCACTCGTCACAACTCGTCCAAAATTCTTACAAACGTTGCCAAAACTCGACTTGATACGCATAATTTCGAACATTCTCGTGCAAAGGTCTTCGGTTGTTGAGAAAATGTTGTACGGATGTTGCCCAAACTCTTGTTAAAAAAATTATCTTACTACTCTCAGTGTCGGGGATAACTTGAGCAGGAATTGAACTGATGTCCCATTCATTAAAAGCTATCGCAAATTCTTGGAAATTGCGTCGGGTTGTAACTCGCCAGCACTCGTGGTAACTCGTAGCCCAAAAACGTGACAGTTATTCAGGGTCTGAAATTTAAAAACGAAAAAGGCCTAACCCTGTATACAGTGGGTAAAGAGCAAAATACCTTTTGTGGTATTTTAGCATCCCAACTTACATACCGATTGTAAGTTTGATGAATGAAAGTGATATAACAAGAACGTTTCGTTCCAAAAGATTTTTGGTTTAAAAAAAAGTATGATACCTTAACATGCACTTAAAATTCTGAAAAGCTGACTAGTTCGTGCCATCTTGTATAATTAAAATCTGTATCAAGTTCCATGCTCAAGTTATATTCCTAAAGATATATAATCCATCCGATGAGGAAGGTTGGGAACACTGGGTTAAAACTATTGATCTAAATTTCAGTCATAATTTTTTTTATGGATCTTTAAATATCCTAATTTGCTGTTTACGACAGGAAAAAAACTGACGCATATCAAAATCTGCTTCAAATGTGTTTTATATGTGATATTCAATATGAAATAGTTGGTAAGATACCTTTGAGATATTGTCTGTAAAAGAAATGAATTAAACTAACAGCAAATGTTTCAAACGATAATCGTTAATGGGTATTCAATTAAGGCTACATCT